TCACAACAGCTGGCAAGACACAAGACAAGCACCCTAACCTCCTGCACTTGCCCCAGAAACATGCACTAGTTACAGACTAAAGTTGATCTCAGCCAAGACACAGAGCAAAACTGAATCTGTGCATATCTCTCTGCAGAGCCATCCTGCTGGCACAAGCACAAGCCTTCTACATTTATACTACACCCAGCAGGCTGGGCTCAGAAAGCTAAGGATAGCTTTCATCTTATCTTTCATCTACCTGTGAACTTCCAGAAGCACACAACAGCTACAGGCCCTCTGTGCACAGGTCTATTAAAAGACAGAAAGATGAGGCAGGCAGGGAAGACCTCACTGCTACCAGGTTGTAATTGTGGTCTGCTCCTGACTGGCTGCAGAGAGGAGGAAGGGAAGAAAAAGAAAAATAAAATAAAAAAAAAAAAATCAATGACTTATCTCTTCCTAACCTTGTCTGTGACTTGTCTTTCAGGAACACCACACTGTATTCCCTGTAACCCAAACTTGAAGCAGCAGCAAAGTATCAAGGCACCTAACAGAGCTGTACCTCATGGTCTGCCTAGGGAAGACCACCCTATGGGTTACAGGCTGCCACCACATACAGAGTTAGACTATTTATGGAGAAACAATAGCCCTAACTTACATTAAGAGGTTTCAATATCGAGCCAAATGGTGACTTTGATTTGCTTGATTAAAAAAAAAAAAAAGAAGTTTAATAAAAGTAAAGCAGACATTTAACACAACGTGAGTATAGTGAAAGACAACACAATACCCTGCAGATCTTTGATAGGCTTCAGGAGGAGCAGCCACTGATTGTCCCATATGAGCTGGTGGACTTCCATGCAGTAGGGGCTATGAAAGCTGGCCTTGCCTCTGAAGCCATTGACCACTTTGATTAGTCACGTGATAGAGGGCTCAAGAGCCAGGAACCTTTCTTCCATGATGAAACAAACAACAAAACCAGAGAGAAAAGCATGTCTGTATCTTCAAGGGCCTCAAACAGAAATTCAGTGATAAAGCAATTCCTTGAGGCAAACCAAACAAGGAGGCATATTGTTGCTGAAAGTTTGGGAATTACTTTAACAGGAATTTTAATAACAATGACTCTTACTTAAGCACCAGCATAGGTACAAACGCCCCAAAAGAAATCATGTTTCCACTGTGCTATACTCTATAAACACCGATAAAGCCTTCTTGTCCCAACAGGCTTACGTACTTTGAGCACTCAAAAAAAGAGATGCTGGTGACCCTGGTATTTCTGGAATTGTTACTGGCTGGCAAATGGCAATATCATGACCTCCTGAGTAACAAGAAAGAGAAATGCAAACAACCCAGAAGAACACAGCAAAACAAAAGTATTTCCATAAGCATTATATCCTGAGAAGAGACCTCTGACTCCAGAGCTCAGAAGGGATATGTTAACGTATTATATATAATGTATTCTGTGACTCTCAGCATCTCATAGTCTTTAATAAATTTACTTGCTAGGAAGCTCAACAAGAAAACAGAAAAAGAATTCTGCAAAATTATTATGGAAGATAAAACTGAAGTATATGGTTGTCTGTAGATATCAAACAACTTTGCTCTCCTGTGCTCCCCTCACATGCAAGGGGATCAAGTGCTGTGAAAAGAGATGGCCTAAGCAATTTCAAAACAGGCAAAACCACTGTAGGGTCATTACAGGCTTGCTCTCTTTGTCAGTTTGTTTTAGACACCATCTACTTAATTCAAAAGTCAGAAACGGAAGGGGACATACCAGGGCCTCACTTCATGCAATAAGGACCCAAGGAAGCAAAGGAAGAAATCCTAAGATTTCAGTGAACCACAAAACAGCACAGTGAGAGGGAAACTTAGTTTTGCCTCATCTGTTCCAAAAACCAAGGAGAGCAGTACTAGGACAACTCAGGGGACCTCTACATGTCAGATGGAATGGTGAGCACGATTATGAAGCCATTTGCCCAGTTCACTCCAATGCACCCTGCTTTGGTGCACACTGTAGAGCTGTGCCTGGATTCCTTCTGGGTGAGCTGAGCCAAAAGACTCGCCCCAGGAGGATGCCTGATGCGCTCCAACAATGGGGGTACTTTTGTTCAAAGACCCAGTCCAGAAGTAGTCTTGGGTAAAAACCCTGAAATGTGCATTATATGGGCACTGAGTCCTCAGCACCTCCCATTCTTCTCTATAAAGGGTTTACTTGATCATGGTGCCTTAGCCTCGGAAGACAGCTACAGCTACGACGGCAGTTCAGACAATTAAGAGATAATACACTAGACATACAACATAAAAAATGGGATATCATTAAGATACCAAAGGTTGAAAGGAAGCTGAGAAGTGAAGTACCAGTAGGGAAACAAAGCTTGTGTCTGTTATCTCCACAGCACTTTCATACTTGAAAAGAGTTCAATGTATGACATAATTAAAAAACCACAACAAACTTCCTCTTCTCTATCACTACTATCAACAAATTCTCAGGGAAAACAGGGAAGTAAAGCTTCCTAAGAGCACCTCCCTTCACAAACCTGAGCAGGTGCTTGTCAGAGGACAATTAATTAATTAAATCTCAGTTTACTCTATTAAATCTCAGAGCTGCTCCTTACCAAAACCCTCCCCTGCAGCAGGTTCTAGAAGTCAGCCTGTAGCAATGCTGCTGGACTGCTTTTACCAGTGCCTTCTTTTTCTTTCCTTCCCTGATGCTGTTTTTCTATCAGCCAAGGAATCTGACTGCAGAACAAAGCACTGAGGAAACAAGAAAAAATGGGCAACCCTGCAGCACCCACCACGTGCCCCTGAGGGTCTGGGCATGGGAGGGAAAGGGACTACGTGTGATACACATAAGAGGCAATCACAGCAGAGCTCTGCTTGGTTTATAAGTCCACACAGATGCTGATTTCTGTAACTATATAAGACATTGATAAGAAATGGAAGCTAATTACAACTCCACAACAAAAGACAGAAAGGAAAGGGTGAAAAAAACCCAACCCAACCCATGTTCCTCGTTAAACTAATTCTTACCACATGCTCCAGTTGCTTTCGTAGCTAGGTTTCAGGGTAAAAAGAGAGCATTAAAAGGTCAGCCCAACATACTTCATCTTATTTAGACGGCATTTCAGTTTGTTGTCTGTAGCCTGGCTAAAGCCAGACCTGTGAAAGGCATTCAAAGCTGCAAAACCCAATCCCCTGTACTGACGAGAGATGGCAAACTATGCTCTCTCACAATAAATACAAACAAGGACAGAACAAAAGTCTCAGAAAGACCATGGAAAAAAAAATCCCACTCTTGGCATGGGATAGGATTGCTCTACGCAGTGCTCTTGTGATCTCCTAGAAAATATAAGCAAATAAAATGTTTAAGAGCAGTACCATAAGTCTCCACAAAGAAGTTCATTCATATTAATGATATCGAGTGCAGTTATGAATTTAGAAAAAACACTTAATTTCATGTGTTGCTACAACATAGCCTTCATGCTGCAGCTGACTGTAAAGGGAGGTGGAAGAGGGAAATATCCCAGGGTTGTTTCTCTACAACCTATTAAATTTATTTTCACCAGAACAGCAAGACTCAGATTAGGGTAAAGGAGAGATTATGTCTGATCCTTTTTTCTTAAAAGCACACTGTAATACATGAGTGACAACAATTTTCAAAAAAATTAACTGAATTTGTGGTTTTAGAAGCTCAACAGAAAGCCAAAACCCAGGGACACACATCTGCTTCATTCCTATGGCTTCCAGCCACCAATGTCACTGTCGATATTTTTTCCTGCCCATGAGCCTCTCATTTCAGCCCCCCTGCCATATGCATGCAGACAGACAGCTCACCAAAAATAAGTATTTGTGTCACATCAGAATAAGCACCTGCCACAGGCGAGCGGCCTGCCACTGCTGCTTCCACACTGTTTTGCAATACTCCCCCCTCTGTCCTTACTCACTGACCTTTCTACAACCACCCTGGCCTCGTTTTGTGTTTGTTGCAACAAACATCTCCTTCCCCCCACACCACAGCGCTGTCCTGTGACTCCTTCAGTTTCTTCCACTCTGTTTTGCAGGATTACTTTATAAAAAGGGGGGTACATTTATAAAAGGGTTTGTGACATATTTCACTCCCATTTTGATTTGGCTGCTCCCCACCTTGGGCTACAGGCACTGCAGAGAACCACAGCTCCGCCAGACAAAGGCACAGCACTGAAGGGACACGGCTTTTACTAAAGAGACAATTAAACCCTCAGCATGAACAATCCTCCTGCACGCGCTTCTCAGAGCTGTTAGAAAGCAGTCAAGGGTTTCATTTCAGAATGAACACTCCACAGAAAAACGGAAATCAGACCAGTACACAAGCCATGAGGGGAACCAAAGGATCCCTCAATTTCTCTTCTTAAAGGCAAATTTGTAGCTTCATCCGTAAGTCCTTTGAGCGGCAATGAGAGCCTCTGCCAGCTCACTGAGCCACCTGAGTAACTTTTTCCAGCCCAACTTCAAACTGTAACAACTTGCTGTATCAAACTGCCAAATCTACAGCGCTCATTTCTTTCTGTGAATCCAGCTGTCATGTTTCCCAAATGCCTTCACAGTCCCAACTCTCCCAATGCCAAAAAGAACTTTTCACAGATATACATAATTTTGCAAAACACATATGCTCTATGTATGGCACATGAAGCCAATTAACAAGTTTACTTACTGAATTAAAGGATGACACACAACAGTGAAACAAAAAACTCCTGCAGACAGCAAACACATTAACCTTCTCCTCCCTATGAGACGATACTCTCACGAGGAGCGCTAAGAAGCTTTAAAGTCTAAGTGGATTTTTAGTACCCCAGAAGATCTTTCACACTTATCTCTGTGGCATCTTTTATTCCATAACTCCCATGGTGTTTGTGATCACCAGCACATGGAGTTAAATGTGAAACGTGTTCAATTTGCAAGTCAGCAAGCACAGATCACGTGCTGGGGAAAATATAATCTCTCATAAAATGAAATAAAAAGACTGAGCATAAAATAAAAGCAGGTACCTTTTAACTGGTCAGCTACCACGCTCTGACCAACTCGCTCGATCACCTTTCCATCCTCCATTTCATAACGATCATCCAAGTATTTCGCAGTAGCTTCCGAAATATGGACTTTTCCAGCCACCCCGAGCTGCTCCATCAGATTGGCCAAATTGACATCATTGGACCACACATCGAACTTGAACCTCCTCATTCCCAAAATGCCACACAGGACTGTTCCGGTATGAACACCAACACGCATGTTCACCATTTCTTTTTTCTCTTGGCAAAATTGCTCAATGGCTTTAATCATTCCTAAGCCCATCTCGATGCAGCAGTAAGCATGATCTGCCCGGGGCTCCGGGCAGCCAGCTACACAGTAGTAACAGTCTCCCAAAGTGCTTATCTTCTCACATTTAGTGTCCTCACACAGACGGTCAAAACGTCCGAAGAGGTCGTTCAGGAGCCCCACCAGAGCGTGGGCAGATTTATTGGCACTCATTTTCGTGAAGCCAACAATATCTGCAAACAAAATGCTCACCTGCTCTATCTGCTGCATCTTAAAAGGACGGAATATGATGGGGGTTTTCTGTATGGAAGGCTTCTTCTTCCTGTTTTTGGGGCTTGAGGTGGAATGACGTTTGATGGAGTTTTCACTTTCATCATCCCCCTGCTTCATTAAGTCATCGGCTATTATTCTTGGCATAACAGAATGAATCATCCTCTCTTTCAGGGCTTTTTCCACTTCTAAGTCTTTTCCATGCATGATGGACTGCCCCACTTTCAGGAACGTGCTTCTCGATCTGACTTCAGACATGATAAATAAATGGATACCGATGGCATGGATGCAGATGTGCAGGAAGGCTTTACTCAACAGCTCCAAGTAAACAGCACCAGCCCCAGGAGGTGCAAAACAGTTCTCATCACGGAAGTGATAACCAAAGGTCTCGAAGAGGACCGAGTACAACAGTCCCAGAAACAAGCTTAAATACAAGGGTAAGTGCATCACTGTGTAAAGCAACAAGAGCACTTCAATACACATAGAAAAACTGCCTACTTGAGAAAGACAAGTGTCTGTGGGATCAGCCGGGGGAGTCTGATTGGACATGTCACCACTTCCTGAGATAGGTTTCAGAGCCTGGAACTGAGGAGCGAGAGTCAAAGCAAAAACCAGGAGGGTGAGTATCAGCGAAGTCCATACATAATGGCGGGCATAAGCCTTGGTGAAAGTGAACGCAAAAAAGCCTACACATACCAAGAGGAAGCACAGAGCCGGCACCATGAAAACAATCTGTTTCTCTCTCATGTGTACGCCAAAGTAAATGCCCCAGAGTATGCAGGCCACACCGATGTAGAAAAGGGCATAGCGAAACCTCCGCTGGGTCTGCGGGAAGCATCTCTCCATGCAAGCCTCCTCCAGGTTGTTGGAGTCGAACTTGGGGTTCCACCACTTGGAAGAGGCCCTCTCGAAGAGCTGAGGCAGCTTCTTCTGCCGGCGGAGACCGGGTACACTGCCGCCACCTCCACCGGCGCGGCGGGTGCCCCCCGACTCCCCGGAGCTGCAGCTGGAGGAGATGCTGTACTTGCAGTGCTTGGAAGAGGAGCAGCCCTGGTGCTGCTTGGGGTTGATTTTCACCGTCACGCTGTTGCTGTCCCCGCTGGAGTCGCAGCTCACCTCGGTGCTGTGGTGATGCAGCAGCTGCTGGTGCGGTGGGGAAGCCATGTTGTCAATTCCTCCTGAAGAGCCCGCTCAGGAGTTGGGTTTCTCGGGCTGGGGAAGCCACCGGGCTCCTCGGAGAGCCGCCTCTAGTCTCCTCCCGCCGGCACCGCCGCCTGCGCGGAGGGGCGGCCGGGCAGCGCCGCGGCGTTCCGCCGCTCGCTAGGCTCGGCACACAGCGCGCTGGGGCGCGGGCAGCCCCACATATTCCCCCCGCCTCGCACGCCTCCGCCGGCCGGGCTGGGGCTGCCGCCCGCCGCTGGCCCCGCTCCCGCAGCCCCTCCGAGGAGCTCAGTCCCGCAGGGGGGACGCCGGGCCCCGGCCGGGAGGGGACCGCTCCTCCATGTCGGCTGCAGCTGGCCGCAGCTTCCTCCCGCGCCCGCCGGGCAGCGCTCCCCTCACGACCGCCGCCAAGGGGCTGGCTCCCGCCGCGCCGCCTCCCTCCCGCCGCGCCGCCTCCCTCCCGCACCCGCCCAGCCGGGACGGCACCGACGACCGCCCCCCCGCGGCCCTCCCCGCCAACGGGGCCTGGGGCCCGCAGTTGCCCCACGCTTTCCTGCCGCCGAGGGCAGCACCCTGGCGAGAGGGCGAGAGAGCGAGAGCCCCTGCGGCGCCCCTCGGCCGCTGGCTCGGGGTTCCGCCGCCTCCTCCTGGCCTGCCTCGGGGCTGCCCTGTCACCCCTCCTGGCGCATGGTGCCGCGCTGCCGCGGGGAGCTCCGTGCCCTGCCGGGGGCCGGCCCGCCCGCTGCGCGCCGCCGAAGGAGGGGAAGGACGGGAACGCGCTCAGGCGCGGGCCGCCACCATCTTTCTCACGGGGGGCTACAGGCGCGCGCCCCCGCCGGCCAATGGGGCGCGGCGCCGAGGCGGGAGCGCGCACACACACAATCCCCCCTCGCTCTCTTTCTCTGCCTTCCCTCCCTCTCGCCCGTGCGCCCCCTTCCCGGCCTGAGGGGCGCGGGCCGGTCCCTGCAGCCCCCCTGGCGCACCCCTGTCCCCGCAGCGGGTGTGTGTGTGTGTGTGTGTGTGTGATTCCTCTGTGAGGCAGCGACGCTCCCTCGCCGCGGGCGGGGAAGGGCTGACAGTGACGGGACCGTGCGGCAGAACCGGAGGCTGGGGCCTGGCGGGTCCCGCAAGGTCCGTCCGTTCCCCCGGGGCCGCCCTCTCTACCCTCAGGACGGGTTCCCCCTGGCGGGTCCCCAACCGCCTCAGGGCCGTGTTTGTTCAGTGGGGGCCTTGGAGCCGCCGCCGTTGGCAGGGCTGACATTTGCCATGCGCAAATAACATGCACTTTAGCAAACAATTCAACCTTTCCGCATCCCCGTAGCCTGCTGGAAACTTGCTGAGTTATTTTTCTCCTCTCCTCTTTCTTAGCTTGTTTATAACTGAAGCTATCTCGCCTGCAATGCTCCCTCGATTTCATTATCTCTTCCTACCAGATGGCCCGTAATCTCTCCCTCCTTCACAGGGTTTCTCCCTGCGCTTGCTTTAGCTTCTTCCCACCCTGTTCCCGGCTCTCCATTTCTTACCCCTGCTCACAGGTGATGTTAACACACAAACCCTCGGTCCCACCATCACCTCCTCATCCTGACCCTCTCAGCCCCTGCTCTCGTGCTTGTCTCGTTTCTTCCTGCTGCAGCTCCTGTTTCCTTCAAATCCCATTTGCTGTTTTCCAGGTGAGCCTTTCCCGGCTGGCTGCTTTCCATCCACCCTTCCTTCAGTGCTGCTTTTTACCCAGCGGTGAGCCCCTCACCCTCAGAAGCCAACACTTTTTAGTAAAACACACTCTTCTCAGACAGTAATAGAAAATATGTGGTCACACAGATACTGGAACTGAAATGTGCATTTTCCCCCATTTCCTTTGTAAAGATACTCCTTATTGTGCAGTAACCGTGCTGTAAAATGTGGCTTTATTATGATGATTTGGAGAACTTTGTGTTTCCTGACACACTCTGGTGGCCCCCAGCATAAGGAGGACATGGACCTGCTGGAGCAAGTCCAGAGGAGGCCACAAAGACACTCAGAGGGCTGGAGCAGCTCTGCTCTGGAGACAGGCTGAGAGCCTGGGGAAACCTTAGGGCAGCTTCCAGTGCCTAAAGGGGCCAAGAAGAAATCTGGAGAGGGACTTTTTACAAGGATCTGTAGCGGCAGGACAAAGAGGGATGGCTTTAAACTGACAGATGGGAGATTTAGATTAGATTTTAGGCAGAAGTTCTTCCCTGTGAGGGTGGTGAGGCACTGGCACAGGTTGCCCAGAGAACTTGTGACTGCCACATCCCTGGCAGTGTTCAAGGCCAGGTTGGACAGGGCTTGGAGCAACCTGTTCTAGTGGAAGGTGTCCCTGACCATGGCAGGGGAATTGGAACTAAATGATCTTTAAGGTACTTGCCAACCCAGACCATTCCATGATTCTACAAAAAAAAAAAAAAAAAATCCATAAAAAAATTGAAAAAAATCAATAGCATATTGAAAAATACAATAACAATAATTGGTTTGGGTTCACTATGACACAGCTGTCTCTTGAATTCCAACTAATGGCTCAGCTAATCAATATTTTATAGCAAGTGCTGCTTACCATGCTGCTCTTACATAAACACCGTTAGGAAGAAAGAAATCGCTTAGCTGACAGAGCAGAAAGCAGGGATGGACTCCTGGGTTTGGCTATTAATTGATAAATTTACTAAGACTTCTTTGCAATCTTTTTCTTGAACCATGTAAATGTTCTTTAAGTTACGTTTTTACTTTTTAAAAGATGATGAATTTATTTAATCTGGAGAATTAAATAAATGTGACAGCTTCCAAAGATATTGTAGAAATTGGGGAGGAAAAGGAAAAAAGGGGGGTTTGCCTCTATGGCAAAGAATTTAAGGTAAAACTACCTTTTTTAACAAAAAACTTTGATATGTAAACCTGTAAGATTTATGCTGTGGTAGAGATGGGGTGATCTGAACTTTGAGATGTAAGAGGTACTAAAATTCCAGCATTAATTTTTTTATCATTGTTTTATGATAGTATTGAGTTATTATTTAGGTGGTTGTTGTTATTGCTTACTATATCCTTACTCAGTTGCCAGCCTGAGTCACCTGCATTACCTTAACACCCCCCCAGATAAGACAGAAACTGCAAAGAGCTAAAATGGGGGTCTGGAGGGGGCGGGGGGCAAGGAATTTCTCAGTAAATCAGGATGTCATTGAAAAGAGCACCAGGGTACATTTACTTCTAGTTGAAGACACGAGTTTTCCCTCTGGTATCAACAAAGTCACGATTTCATTTGTTTCTTTTGGTTCTGGGTTATTTAGTGTGCCTGGGCAGTATATAAGTCAAATTTCGTTTGCCCAGAGTGTAGTAAAAGTTGAGGTCCTTCAAAGTGGTGTTTATTACTGAACCTTGCTTGGGTAGACTTTAATTCAATTTTCATCTAAAATGCAGATGCAAGATTGTGGATCGTACCTCCCTTCAGAACACAGCTATTGGGCAGTGGATGGTGTGTGTACAACAGTAAGTAAGCGCAGGGAGGAGGTGGTTCATCTGCCTGCATGCTGCACTGACAATGAGTCTGAGGAGAGAGCCTGCTCATATATTTTCCCTGTATTCATACAGATGAAAACAACACTTTGGGCATGGAGGTACACATGTGCGGGAGACAGGACGAGCAGAAACAAAGCTCAGGCTGGGAAGCAAGAGAAGTGTGTCTTGTTTCCCCTATGCTCAATAAAGCAGACTTTGTATGTTCTTAAAATAAACAGAATCCCATCAAAGGTATTGACTACATCACAAGTTTTAACTGAGTGACCCACATGATCCCAAATTTTGTCTGGCTACTAGTCAGAGACTGCTTTTGATCTCCACTGATGAAGCAGTCTTCTCTTTTCCAGCTTTCATTTAGTGGTTCGAAGGACAGTGAAAAGGGTCTGAAGGAGACATCTGACTTGTTAATACCCTTCCTTAGTAAGCTTCAGATTGTGATGCCAAGATTGTTCAGAATCCTTGCTCCCAAAAAGAAGCTCCCACTAGGTTTGTTACTGGTAGACTCCCATCCTGCTCCTCCTCTTGATCTTTTGGGTGAAAGAGTCCCTCTACGCTAATCAGCTCAGTCGTTTTCTGTCATTACCAAGTTCTGTGGAAACCTACAGTGTGTATGCAGGAGAGAACACTCCTGTTAGCTCTGCACAGGCTGGGAAAGACCTAGTGCTGCCTCCTGAAAGACTGAAGTTTTAATTGAGTGTTATATTCTGGATATTTTTATTTCACTTTCCTTTTATCACGATTTTTCTCCATTGAATTCAAGAAGCAGGTTAAATACGTGTAAGTAGTAATCAAGAAATGCCTGTGATGCTTGTATTTATTTCAAGTATGAATAAAATTTGTCTTAGAGGGCAAGAAGTGGTCTGAAGTTGTGTCCATTATTTCCTGCTCTGCCTTCTGATTTGTTTTCATCAGGAGGAGTTTAACCCCATGGCATGTAAACACAATCAGCGTGTCCCTCTAAGGCAGCATCTGAGTGGGCAATGTTTGTAGCATCCTCTAAGGAAGATGCTTTATCTTGGTCACATTCACAGCAACCTCCATTTGCAAATCTTGGTGGATCAGGAACTACCATGCTGTATCAGTTTTGAGTCCCAGGTTCATTTTACTACTTGGTAGGTCTGGGTTGTGCTGTTTTCTGGAATAGAACTCTGACTGCCCGTCCAAAATACTCTGTGACTGCTTTCCTTTCTCAGAGACTGAGTTAGAGAAAATATTTTACAGTGCAATATCTGGGCAAATGCTTATCTTACTTGCACATATCTTTTTATGCCACTAAGTATACATATTTATAGAGTTGAATTTACTTCCCTTCTAAGAGGTGAAGCTTTTGTCAGCTGTAATGATTAGCTTTTGTTTGACATTCATAATATTGTACTGCATGGCTTACCTGGTGGAGCTGTGTGAAACTATTTATGGGGGTTCTGAAATGTGACAACCCACTTTTTTAGACTTCACAAACCGCCTTCACGAGATGGAAGAATATGGCAAGGAAACGGCTGGCTGGAACAACAGCCTGTGATAATGCTGGTGTAGCTGGGAGGAGGGATGCTCTTTAGAAGTCTGTGGGTTTTATTGTATGCTGTCAAAGGAAAACTAACAGACATCATGGATGTTGATCCTGTCTGCCTCTGGAAACAGCATAAATATTGGAGAAAAATACATTGAAACCTATTTAGTCCATCCACAGTCAGAAAGGCTCAAGGGAGACGGCCCAAATGGCCCATTCCTTATTTTCTTACCTTAATAAATAGCAGGATCTCCCTTTCTGACAAACTTCTGCATCCTTGCTGATATGTGCGACATTCGTTATGAGCTTTAGTT